TTTATGCTAATCCTGCTACCCAGCAAGGCAAATGTTTTGGTGTGTTCTTGTATTATATTCAATCTGTGTTAAATTTTTATTCTACCGTTCATCGTTAATCGAAGTGGGCGTTATTTTCCTAGGGTTTATTAACTACAACCATCCAATTAGTGTTCAATGAGCAGTCGTAGAAATCAATGGCTATGCAATGGGAACTAAGCGGTTCAGAGTGAGCTCAACACGTCCCAAAGGTGGTGATTGGGTGTATAGCTATTTCTATTAATGTCGTTTAAGTTGGGATTTATGAATGTACTTGCTATGTGTAAATTCTTTAATACAGTTTCCGTTTTCTATTGTTCAGCAGCTGATCAGCAACAGTGACAACTACAACTGCTTTTCTCCGATTTTTTTAGTAACATTTTTGGTCGGATGAACTGTTGCCTTTCGAAGTGAATATATAACTACCCTGAAATGGAAATGATTTTAAAGTTCCATACTTGAGTGGGATGGCACATCAATAGACTCTTGTCCTCAATGTCATATTTTCATGTGTCGTTTTCTGCCTATGTCTTGCACTACTGCCAATTCTTTCTCGTGATTTAAGCAAACTTTTTCCCATTTGTTTGCTTCTTACACTTCGTATGTATGTGGATCTTCCCTTTCGTTGTAAGGACCATTCCTGGCGACTAAAGTGCATTCCTCGGATACCAATGTGTGTGTAAGCTTTTCTTTTTTTCCTCTTATCCAAATTTATTTGAGCTATTGTGCATGACTCCTATCACAGATATATACTGCGTAGCACTATTGCATGTCCATTGTAATTCAATTGCTTTTCTTGTTTTAGGCTATTTCCGTCCTATTTAATAACCTCTGGTTTTCAGAAGATACTTCTTTATTTGTCATTGCAGCATGATTTAACCCACTTTGATGATGTTCCACTCCTGAGCTTATAAGGACATAGACAGACAGAGAGTAACAGCAATAATAATAATCAGCAAGTGTTTTAGTCGTTTTATGTGAATATTTAATCAGCGGACTGTTGTTCACTGTCAATAAAACTTATGTAAACTATGGCTAGAAAAATGGTAAACAGCGTTTCACTGACACATGCTTGCAAATCGCCCTCATTCCTGTGCAATTTTGCCTTTGTCAACTGACACAAACTAACGGCATATCTAATTCCCTCTATAGTCTATGGGAAATATTTTCAGTTTCAGGAGGTAATTGGGGAACTTCCGCGATTAAGAATGGAGTCAAAGTGCCTTTGCATCATGGAAAACTGGTCAAATTCACAATAAACGGGTAATGTTAGAGAGGACGCGTTAAAAAATCTGTAAGCGGATTTACCTGGGCCAGGGACAAGCATAATTTCACTTGCCTTAGCACTAAATAGGGGACCATCATGCAAGGAGATGACCTGTTTTATGCTAATCCTGCTACCCAGCAAGGCAAATGTTTTGGTGTGTTCTTGTATTATATTCAATCTGTGTTAAATTTTTATTCTACCGTTCATCGTTAATCGAAGTGGGCGTTATTTTCCTAGGGTTTATTAACTACAACCATCCAATTAGTGTTCAATGAGCAGTCGTAGAAATCAATGGCTATGCAATGGGAACTAAGCGGTTCAGAGTGAGCTCAACACGTCCCAAAGGTGGTGATTGGGTGTATAGCTATTTCTATTAATGTCGTTTAAGTTGGGATTTATGAATGTACTTGCTATGTGTAAATTCTTTAATACAGTTTCCGTTTTCTATTGTTCAGCAGCTGATCAGCAACAGTGACAACTACAACTGCTTTTCTCCGATTTTTTTAGTAACATTTTTGGTCGGATGAACTGTTGCCTTTCGAAGTGAATATATAACTACCCTGAAATGGAAATGATTTTAAAGTTCCATACTTGAGTGGGATGGCACATCAATAGACTCTTGTCCTCAATGTCATATTTTCATGTGTCGTTTTCTGCCTATGTCTTGCACTACTGCCAATTCTTTCTCGTGATTTAAGCAAACTTTTTCCCATTTGTTTGCTTCTTACACTTCGTATGTATGTGGATCTTCCCTTTCGTTGTAAGGACCATTCCTGGCGACTAAAGTGCATTCCTCGGATACCAATGTGTGTGTAAGCTTTTCTTTTTTTCCTCTTATCCAAATTTATTTGAGCTATTGTGCATGACTCCTATCACAGATATATACTGCGTAGCACTATTGCATGTCCATTGTAATTCAATTGCTTTTCTTGTTTTAGGCTATTTCCGTCCTATTTAATAACCTCTGGTTTTCAGAAGATACTTCTTTATTTGTCATTGCAGCATGATTTAACCCACTTTGATGATGTTCCACTCCTGAGCTTATAAGGACATAGACAGACAGAGAGTAACAGCAATAATAATAATCAGCAAGTGTTTTAGTCGTTTTATGTGAATATTTAATCAGCGGACTGTTGTTCACTGTCAATAAAACTTATGTAAACTATGGCTAGAAAAATGGTAAACAGCGTTTCACTGACACATGCTTGCAAATCGCCCTCATTCCTGTGCAATTTTGCCTTTGTCAACTGACACAAACTAACGGCATATCTAATTCCCTCTATAGTCTATGGGAAATATTTTCAGTTTCAGGAGGTAATTGGGGAACTTCCGCGATTAAGAATGGAGTCAAAGTGCCTTTGCATCATGGAAAACTGGTCAAATTCACAATAAACGGGTAATGTTAGAGAGGACGCGTTAAAAAATCTGTAAGCGGATTTACCTGGGCCAGGGACAAGCATAATTTCACTTGCCTTAGCACTAAATAGGGGACCATCATGCAAGGAGATGACCTGTTTATTTATGATGCAAGGAATAGAGGGCTATCTCAAAAAATTTCTGGACTCATTCGTTTGCCAAACCAGAAGCATTAATTTTCTAATGGTCACACGCAGCCATTTATCGGGTAGAGGGGAGTAAAGTAATT